CATGCTCTTTTGCATGTGTCCTTCAGTAGTTGCATTGAGAGCGCAGTCATCGGCGAACAGAAGTTCGTGGACGGTGGTTGTGTATACACGCGACTGGAAGTGCAGATTGAGGAGGTGGCCGTCCGTTCTATAGGCGACGCGGATCCCGGCGCTTTCGTCACCGTAGGCGTCCATCAGCATGGCAGAGGACATGAGACTGAAGAGGGTGGGCGCGAGGACGCAGCCCTTGTTCACCCCGCTGGTCAGTGAAAGTGCCTCTGAGACAGCTCCATTGTCCGTAACTCGCGCCATCATGCAATCGTGGAGCTGAAGCAGCATCCGATAGAATCGTTCTGGACAACCGAATTTCTGCATGATTTTCCACAGCCCTTCTCGATTCACCGTGTCGAAGGATTTTGTCAAATCCAGGAGGGTAGAGTAGGGGTGGGTTCGCATCTCCTGACACTTCTCCCGCAGTTGGCGGGCGGCGAAGATCATGTCGGTGGTACCACGATGACGACGGAAGCCGCACTCGCTTTTCGGCAGGAGATCCTGTTCCAGATGGTTGTTCTGGCGGTTGCGAAAAATGCGAGCGAACATCTTCTCAGTGATGTTCAGCAGGGAAATGCCTCGGTGGGTGTCGCAGATTTGGCGGTTCCCTTTCCGCTTGTAGAGGTGAACGATTGTGGCGTCCCTGAAATCCTGCGGACTCCTCCTTGACGCCACATTTCCTGGAAGAGCGCAGTCAGATAATCCACCGTGCTTGTAAATCTCAGCGGGGATCGCATTCGATCCGGGCCCTTTACTGCTGGGAAGCTGCTGCACGGTCCTGATGGTTTCGTGTAGAAAGGGTGGGAGGTCGAGGTCGACGTTCGTCTCCAATTGAGGCAGACGGGCGATGGCGGTGTCGGAGATGGTGGAGGGACGGTTGAGGACGCCTCTGAAGTGCTCGGCCCATCGCAGCCAGTAAATGGACGCTGGTCGTAGTCTACATCTGCAAGCAAGCGAGCGACCTACTACGTCCATCGCGTGGACCCGCCGCTGGACACCCCTGCACCCCATACAGACACGAGAACAGTTCGACCGTCGTTTTCGACGATGTCCACCGTGTGCTCCGCAGCCTGCTGGGAGCAGGCACGTTGACTTGCGCCTAAGTTAGTTTATAGTGATAGTAGACTTGCGCCGGCAGTGGCCAGGGCCTTAATTGGACTAACGCTTGCCATGGATCAATATGGCCTTCGTTCCAGTGTCCCGCTGTTGCGGCACAGTTCGATTAGAATGGGGACAAATCATGGCCACCACCATTAGCATTGCCCAATTTATCATCTTCACCACCACCAGCATATCCAGGGTCGGAGTCACCCTTATTACCATAATTGCCAGGTTGCCATCTCTGTAATCGTCAAAACGCTTTTGAATTGCATCTCTAACGGGGAGAAGGCCCTACTCGGGATTGCGGACCGTCGGATTGCAGAAGTGGACGGGTTCAAATAGTTTAGGGCGAGGCTCCTGCTAAATGGACGGAGCGTGAACGACGTCGTCGCCCCAGCCGATGTTACGCATAGAGTTTCCACAGACTTTAAAGGGTATATGGTAACCGATCAAAATCATGAAACACTGGGCGAGTGGACCCATTAAACGAGATTACAGTACTGGCTATCATAGGACAGATTCTCAGGGCGCTTTCATACGCGCTAGAGTATTGGCCCTTGGGCGGCCGTCTGTTCAGTCAGTTGCGAAAATCACGCTCGACAAAAATGCCCACTTATATAGTGTACACCCTTCTCATTGATATTCAATGACTGCATGACATCAGTATCATCTTATTGAAGAAACACACATAGAATTTACTTATGCATCCGTTTTGTAATATTTGCCTTTTGGGACATACAGTAGATGGGCTAACCCATGAAATCAGATCAGATCATCAGACTAATGTCAGAATAAAAGTATTGCCCAATCACAGGGGCTAGTCAATACGCCGCTGATTTTTTCACCTCATGCAAACCCGAATCTATACCACTTTTGTAGGTTGTTAGCCGCCTAAACGCCCTCTTCCACTTTAGAGGCCTTATTTGTAAACGCACAGGGCAGTTTTTTATTTTCTCTATAAGGACAATCTTCAGCCACTAGGAGAACATGGACTTGATTGCAGTGAGAAAATATTGCCCAACATCATCCTCAACTGCCTCCCAATTCCCAAGAGTAGATCAATCCAACCGGAGGCATGACTAAGCACAGTGATTCGCTGGGCACATTGCTTCTATCTAGCCGATCCAGGCCGCTCCGCTGCCCTCATCCGGACACGTTCATTCGTCTCCGTGTTCTCGGGACCCTTCCACATTAACTGGCATCTATTGAATCCTGGCTTGAATAGGCATATCCCCGAAGAAAAAGCAATCACGAATGGATGCGGGTGTTCGAGTCCCAGGTGTTTGTATGAGTAAGAAAAGGGAGTCCAGTCGAGCACCAGAACTGTTCGTTTATTATTCCGAGCTTAAGAACTCGTTCCGGAGTCCATCGTCAGAAGTAGTAGCAGTAACTGAACGAGATACTTATAGAGGACAGCGAATTATCACAAGCGGCTGCCCACACTTACGAAACGAGCCGTCGTCAAGAGAGTCTCCCACACCAGAAGCATGACAAGTCGAGAATTGATTAAAGCCTGGGCCTCGGAGGGGAAGTCAGTCAGTCGATGCGTCGATTTGACGCCGGCATACAGAGACCTGTGCGGCCGCCCCCAGGCTTGCATCCTTGGTCGAGGATCGGCTTGTGCCCCCTATAACTGTGGCTTGTTCTGTTGCTCATACTACGTCTGAAGATAGACTTCTACACAGTTCAAAAGCTCAGAACAATAAACGAATTGTGCCAGTGCTCCGCCAGACTTTCTCTTCTTTGCTTAAAAAGTAATCAGTATGGTTGCGATCTGCCGCTTTTCAACCGAAACTAATTCTAGTGTAATGTCACTACACACGTTTAAACTCCAAAGGGCTGCAAATCGGAGCCGGATGTCTGGAGGCTCAGTGACCGGTCGTCTCCGTCTGTGCTACCTGTCAAATAATAATTACTCATTGCGAAGCCACCGCTTTCCAGGGTTTTAGATCGGAGCACCCACATTTCCTTTTTACAATCAGGATAGACGGGGAGACGCGAGTACTGCGCAACTTTGTGTATTCTCAGTTGCATTTTGCGAAGCGCGTGTCCGTGATAGAAGCCCCTGACTCAGTGACCCACTACTGTGGTGTCTTTGTTTATCGGCGTGACTTCATTCTCGGGAGGACGTGCGCCGGAGTCGGTTATTGTGTGAGTGTGTGAATCATTTTCTTAGTATTCGACCGAACGAAATGGCACTTTACACTTTACCCTGTTTTTCTTAACCCCTTTCAAAACCCGATCAACGGGATAAATTGCCAGTACTTTTTTCCCGTGATAATGGCGACACTCTCTGTCTCTCAGGATAACATTCGCGTCATTGTGTCGCCGGCCGCCAGAGGAATGATGGGTCACCTACGGCAGATGTT